AAACGGTCATTCATCTATATCTCGAAAAAGGTTGAAATGACCGCAGTAGACTTTAGGGCTTTCCGTTAGAGCGTCTCGAGTACTCTATTTGCCCCATTAGGCTCTATCAAAAATTTCAAAATTATGCCAAAATTCCATGTTTTCCGTCCCGTTTTGCTCATAGATCCGCCCTTGAATGTCGCAACATTCATTTTCATCGTTTCATGCCTATCTGTTGATAAAAATATGTAAGGTGGCGCCCTTTGCGACGTTGCCGAGTTGCCCAATTTATCCCTGCAATAGGATATAATACCAGGTTTTTTCTATAAACAATCCGCAACACTAAGACGGGGGGGTTGAGAACCGAGTGACGTCGAGCAGTTCTGCGCCCTTTCCAGCACGTTAAGGGCCAATCAGCTTCAGGAAACACTCAATCAACTGGAACAATTTGCTTAATATTCAGAACCAACCCTTTGTTTCCTCGACATTCACTCAGTGGATTTAAGAAAAATACGGCGCGAATTCCAGTAAACCTTGAATGCGATCGAACCGTGTACATAAACAGCTGCGCTGAAAGGTAATTTGAACCATTCAGATATTTTTTCAACAATCAAGCCACCGTAATTCGCAAAGTAAGCAATCTAGATGGCAACATTCAACAAGGGAAACTGCTCCATTGAACAAAACAGCATAAGTTACTAATGTCCATTAGTTCTAATTGACTTACGTGCATGTTTCCATGACTTTTTCCAACACCCAAAGGCGACTTGATGTAATCCACCGTTAAGGGACGCACTACATGATGGCGCACTATTGGCCACAAAAACCGTCTAACCGACACTGTGTGTAACACACCCAAAAGTTCCCAATTAAAATCGCTTTCCACGTTACTTTCAATCACAATTAATAATCATTTAAATAAAGGAGCGCTGTTCCGCACGCCGCAACCTCCAGCAATGCGCTCGTGAGTGTCGCAGGAAACACTGTTGCCGATCGGATTAGTGAAAAACTGCTTTGGTACATTCATGAACAATCATTCGGCTGCTTTAAACGCATTAAACCAGCAGGAAAGGGGGACAAGCCCAAAGGAGCGAGCAATTTGGAACGCAGCACTTTGAAGTGTTTCAGCAGATTTAGCTGTGTGTTTGCTGGGAAATTCATTTCGGGGTAAAATGATTACTTTTCCCGATGAAACAACTGCGTTTTGGCAGGCTCCAATCAATTGTAAACGAAATGAAACAAAATGTAAAAATAATTAAATGAAAAAAAATGTTCCGGCTTAAGCGCACAAATCATTTTTGAAATTTTTTTATTAATTATTAAATTTTTCTCATTTGAATAATAATATATGAATGAATATATGAATCTCTGGCACGGTAAAATACGGTATTTTCAAATGGCTTGTACGGTAATACGCGTTTGAAAGGTTGGCCACCCTGCTCCCATTTGTGACAGGAGTCGGCCGTTCAATGATGGATGAGAAGTCGTGTGCAAATTGCTTCACCAAATTCGCAAAAAAACCCGTTTTTTTTCAATTTCGAGCTGTGAGTTGTTGATTTTCGGAAAACTAGACGTTTTCCGCTTAGTTTCGTGAAACTTCCCCGGGCCGCAGAGCGATTTTCTCCCCAAAAACGCGAATTTCAAATTGGAACGTTCTGACGTCAAACTGACAATCGATGACAACCACCTAGACCCCGCTAACAATCTAACCCTAATATTATTGATATTCAACTGATGAGAGTCTCAGCGATTTTTCTACGGTCCTCAGACCATCATAATCGTAAGGATCTCTCGATATCCTCATAATTGCGTTAAGGACTTAGAATAGAGTTGAATAGAGGTATGTATGTAGAATAGAGCGGCTTAATAACAAGTTTATTTAACAGCTACACTGAACATTCAACTGTTGTCTTTTAATCGCATTTCAACTAAGAAAACATGTAAAACTTTTGACGCCTTGGAACGCAGCTCTTTTTAAGCCTCAGAATAAGGCACACTTTACAGGAGTGACAGACAAAGACGTTTTTCAAACCAATCTCTGAACTAATCATCCTCATAACAATACACGATCGTCCGAGAATATGGTCAATAATTCGGCCAATTTCCTCAACTTCTGACAACGTTGCTAATACAGTTGAGATTGAAGGAACTCGCAATAATTGCGGCATCCTGAGCGTCGACTTTCATTAGAAACCTGCCTGATGACTGATTCGCTAAACAATTCCGACCTCGAATCGGGCAATTTCCATTCCCAGAAAGCCTTAGATTATATGGACTTACCGCGTTGCGATGAATCCGCACATCTGGCTCGCTTTGGGCAATGCTTTTCCTCGGCTTGCCTCCTTCCGTCCATCCACTCAGATCCTGCAAACTCCCATAGCAGAACTTGTCCTCGTACAATTCGCAGTTGCTCAATTCCTCGCAACTGTAGTTCGCTTTGGGCACCCCGTACACCTTGGGGCTTAGCTTGTTGTAGATGGACTGTTCGGGTTTCGCGTGCTTCTTCGATTTCTTCACCTCGAACGGCACCCTGAAGATGTTCATCAAGCTCCCCTTGGAGCTGTGATTGGAAATCTCATCAATCGAGCTTTTAAACTCGTGGAACTCGCCCTCGGGCACATCGACTGGACATTCCATGTAGGCATCGAAACCAGAGTATTTCGCCTCCGTTCCGGGCTTTAGGTTGTTGTGCCTTTGCACCACAAGGGGCTCCAGATGCGATTTCATGCCCTCGTAAGCTCTGATGTTGTTCAGGTTGTTTAAAACTGGTTGGCTTGCTTCTGGGGCTGGCATGGACACATGCAGTGGCTTGTTGTTGAGTTTGTGGAAGTCGAGGGAGTTTAGAGGGAGGTCGCCCCCATCGAAGCCATGGGGGCGGTTGTTGTTGCTCATACTAGGCAAAGGGCGGCAAGTGGGGAACTCTACCACTAAAATGCGATCGCTGATGTTTCCACAGTCGTCCCTGTAGCCGATTCCCGAGTCCGAGTTGCTGGAAGCACTGGGCTGGGGCGAGTTGGCCATCACTGGGTCATTGTTGGGGTTGTTGGGCAGGGCTTCGTTTTGCAGCTTGTACATGGATTGGATGAGATTCACTATATAAAGAGCGTCTTGGGGGAACTCCAAACAGGACCCTGTCACTACATCTGGAGTGCAAACTATCTTGAAATTTCCTGCTTTCTCCATATGGATTCTGTGATCCACTATATTGGAGTCCACCACAAAGACATGGCAACTATTCGAGATATCGATGTCCTCAGGCATGTTGCTATTGTTGCTCTTTTCACTCACCGCACTAGTAACCAGGCCAAAGTACCTGGAGTTTTTGTCAGTGGACGAGCCCACGTACACAACTCGATTTGCTGGGTAAATGGCTATAATGTGATTGGACGAGTTCTTCAAAGTGAGGCAAGTGGGCAAAATGGTCATCAGGATATTTGTCGGGGGCCGCTTTTCCTGTCTCAGCTTCCTTATACAAGTGCAAACCGTTTGTAGGCGCGCATTAGGCAGAAGCTGTTTCGGCATTTCAATCGTTCCCAAATATCCTATTAACGCCTTGTATTCCATCGGTCCTGCCTCGTCTTCAATGGGCCCGGATACATCCAAATTCAGCTTCACAGCGCTTTTATGACTGGGTTCCACTGCAACTCCCTTGTGGAACCTTCGGCACTGTCTGGGTTTGTGTATATACTTGGGTTTCCTGCTCACCATCCTGCCACATTCCAGGTCCTCATCACTGCTGTCCGAGTAGTAGTTTTCCGCGATTGTCATAGTAATGGGGCCCACGCAATTCCCGATCAAGCCCACAACAGCGTCGTGGGCCATTTTCGACACTGATATTCCATTCACTGAAATTAAAAAATCCCCGGCTCTCAGCCCCGCCTGGTCGGCTGGCGAACTATTCACAATGCACGACAAAATGCAGGGCTGCTGCCCGGATATAGTAAACCCAAAACCGTTGGGGCCCCTTAGGATTTCCACTGTTTTCAGCCCATAGTTGGGCCGTTTCTTCCTGCGTCGATTTGGGTGCATTTTTTTGATTTTACAAAACTCGGTCCAAACGTTCACTGTGCACCACACGTTTTCACATCACTACTCGGATAATTCGCCTTTTAAAAACACCCGTTATTTGGAAAACATTCCGAGATTCTTGTCTGACGCTGGACGCATTCCAATGTCTTCTTCTTTTTCATCTGTCCGTTGTCAATGTCCAACGGGCATTTAAAAGCCATTTTCTCTTCAGCGGGACGTTCAGAGATTTAATCTTATCCCGAATGCACATGCTTTTTCGTTTAAAAGCATCAGACTGGTTTGGAAAAAATTTCCAATTTTTAATAGTTACCAAATGGCGAAAGATATTCAAACAACAGACACTAGGCGTTAATTGCCATCCAAGGAACATGTTTTACAATTAATTTTATTCCGAGAAATTACAGTTTATCTTTGCTCGCCTTGTGCCGGCGCACTCACAGCACACGCGCACAAATGTGTCTATTCCAGAACGCATTGCTCTGTGTCGTGAGTGACAGGTTTAATCTCAATATTTGTATGAAAGGAGGAAGAAGAATACGATATTGATGACATATAGACATATGTTGTTTTTGTAATGCTTTGTCGCAATTTCGAATAGTTCTTTATATCATAAAAAGTACTATTGAGCCAGTATTAGTTTACATAGTTATAGCTGAGTAGTAAGTAGTTGATCTTTGCAATTACCTTTTTGATCTCAAGGTTCACATTATATCGCACGATCAGATAAGGGGTTATAACAAGTACTTGCCAAACACCCAGAAAAGGATCAACATTTCAAAGAGATAACTAATTTTTTTCGTGCAGATTTCACAAGAATAATGGCCGATCAGCAGCAGTTTTTCCTGAAATGGAACGATTTCCAAAGTAATATGGTGTCGTCCTTTAAACATCTGAGGGATGAGAAGAGTTTTACGGACGTAACGTTGGCCTGCGAGGGGCAAACCTGCAAAGCTCATAAAATGGTGCTTTCGGCGTGTAGTCCATACTTCAAAAGTTTATTGGAGGTAAAACACAAAATATTGATCAGTATATGATGTGCAAGGTACTGATAGATTTTCTCACATTTTTTATGCGTTTATTGGCCTGATTAACTGAGTTTTGCATCAGGCAAGCCTCGGCATATTATCAAGGTTCTTTTATACATTTACTACTTCCAAAACGTAATTACGTCTTTTAAATATCAGGAATTCCCCTATAGGAAACTGTATTCAGGATTGGGGGAATCTTAAAGGAAAATGCATGTTTTATGCGAAAGCCTTTGATCTTGCTGGCAGTTACGTTTAAAAACTACACAAATCGCGCAGTAGGTGGTTTGTGTAGGGTTCAATTCAAATTCTTGGGGAATTTAATGACGCAGACAAGTGTGTGAGCTACAAACAGCTGCAAATGTCCCAAATTGAGGAATTATTAAGGAACCATTGGGAAAAAGCACGTTTATCTGGGAGAAGTGGTGAAAGAGCGGGCAAGAAAACATGTCCCATCTCTTTAGATAATTGGATACAAAGTCACGAAGATCATACCGGACTCCTAAGTCGTCGCGTACTTTCCTCAACGAAGACTGTGTGCAGTAAAGCAGATGATTTAAGCAGGAAATCGACCGCAACAAATTGGTATGCAGCATTCACCAACGAACAAAACATAAATTGACGCCAACTCATGTAAAACAAGTCTGAGAAGTACTGCCAGGTAGATCAGGGCTTAGAGCTGATTTCCATAGATGGCCTACTTCAACTGGCAACAAAATGTATCCTCAATTATTTACTTGTTCCCTTGTAAGGCTTATCTCAGTTATCTAAGTCTATGAATAGTTCAGAAGTCAAAGAATACTTACATATCTGCACAGTGCAAATAACTTTTAAAAAAATTGTATAACAATTTGTAGAATGTATTAAAATGTGGTATTATTTATCAGGAAAATCCATCAAAACACCCGATCATAATACTGAAAGATGTGGCTTATAGCCATTTGCAATCGATCCTGGAATTCATGTACGCTGGGGAAGTGAATGTCAGCCAGGAACAACTCCCCGCCTTTCTTAAGACTGCAGATAGACTTAAAGTGAAGGGACTTGCCGAAGCCCCACAGGCCATCAAGAGGGAATAAAACGTTTACTTAAGCTTGAGAGGTCGAGGAAAGACGCAAAATGATATTCATATTAAATAGCACAAAACGGATTTTTTGATACGATTTATTAGCTGGTATTCTGACGCAAATGGACAAAGTGAATAATTCTTTGCCAGTTACAGTATCAAATTTATTGCCGATAACATTCATGTTATGGTCTTTATTGTGTGATAATCTTCAACAATAGTGTTATTTGCAGCACAAACCTCTTATAGAGGCATGAATCTTCTATCTATTTCATTTGCCTCCAATCATGCATTTAACGGGTTTAATTTTCAATTATTTAGTGCTATTTTGTGTGCATATGGTTGGTTATCTGATTGTTTTAGTAGTCTTTCGTTTGTAGGTATATTAATGTTCTACCTAATATTAAGCCACTTTAAATTCGTTTTTCACTGTTTGTCATTCACTTTATTGACCGGCTGAATTATTTTCGGTACTGCCATCTACTCATGATGATTTTTTTAATTGAATTTGATATTTTTTCGTTATTAACGCAGCTTGTATGGTAAGTAGATAGCAGCCCCGACCATTGAAATGTTAGAGCAATTTTTAGGCATTTGTATATTGAAATGTGTGGTTGAAATGTGGGGGTTTTAAAACATCCTTTATTGAGTCCTTATTTAAAAGTAAATTTTTTTAGTTTCCAAATTAGAGCAGTGCTATTTGTTTCATTTATTGCTTTGGATCAGTTGCTTGAAGCAAACTTGACTTAATTTCGCATGAAATGCTGGATATTAAACAATTTTTTCAGACGTCCACTTTTTAAATAGTTGATGGTTTTAGGATTATCGGCGAGTGCAACCGGCTGGTTAATCAATTTCGTTATTGTAATTAGTTAAGATTATTTAATAATAGGTATTTGCTCCCGATGCAGGACGAACTACAAAAGTACAGTTGTTTCTATACATGGCCCTCAGTCGACGCATAACTTTTAAGTGTTAAAATGAATAATCAGACTTCTTTATTATATTTATTCTTATTTTAAAACTTTTGTAGTTTGTTCCTTGTGTTGCGAAATATGGAAATGTAATGCCGAACCGGCAGCCCTGTTTTTGAACCAGTGTGGAAATATATGAAGATTTTTTATGAAGGATAAACATATGTTTGTTTGACTTGAAAACTTATTTGTTTCGCCCATATACGTGGTACAGTGCGCGATAGAGCAAAAAAAATGCGCAAAAGTGCGTGATTATTTATTAATTCTTAACCGCTTGTTCCTGGTCATTTATCTTGCCAGAAAGGGAATGCATTTTTGAATCCGATTGGTTCTTCGCCGGCGAAAACGTGGTGCAAAGCCACTTTTTCATCAATTGTTTGATGCTTTAGAGTCACGTATTTTTCGGCTAATTCCTCAGCGGATGCTAAGTCTCTTGTATAGTCTGCGTCATTTATAACATTCTTTTGTCCTTTCCATAGCCAGATGTCTGTGTGGTTATCAAGAAGGAACAAAGCTGAAAGTGAAGTTGGTTACTTCTATGCTGATCTTGGTAAGAACATATATTCAAATATTACAAAGAATTATTATTTATGATTTATATTGTGGCCAAGAGAATTTCTTTAAATTGTCTTTTTCAGCTAAGGTTTGAATAAACCTGGAGTTTCGGAGTTTATACTCCAATGAGCAATAGAGTGATAGCGCAAAATCGGGTAAATCGCCCAAAATTTCACTATGTGTTCAATTACCTGGTTGTAATGCTGTATACAGATGGGACTGCAAAAACGGAAAAGGGGCGACATTGGCCGACCTTAAAGAATACTCAACTTCGGTGGCCAGGAAAGTTCCAGTAATGGAGTTCAAATAGAAAAGCTTCGAACTGAAATCGGCAATTTTCCTTTCCGATGGAGGGTTGCGGCGTTCATCCCCCGGTACAGCTGAAAGGAAAGCCTCAGTTTCCACGCCTTGCTCAATTTCTGTAACATTAAACCCGGCCCAATTGTGCTTCCATTTTCTTAAGACCTTCTCCGGCTGCAAAACGGCCACAATATTTTTTCTGTGTTCCAAGCTGGTCTGAGTGCCATGCCAGTAAATGAACGATTTTTCGCCTGGGAGGATTAACATGAAACTGGCTCTACTCCTCAATGACGCCCTTTCGCATGGCACTTCATATAAATGGATTTCCTGCACAATTTCGCCCCTTATCAGCATCAAATGGCACGCGTTTTCGTCAAAGTCCTCATCACATCCAATAAACGTAAACACACCGCGGACAAAGTTTTGGAAAAACAGAAACGGTTCACTCCACTGAACCACTCGCTCGACTGGAACGCTCTCGTCGATTCCAGGCGGAAGGGGCGAAGCCCCTTTTTTCGCATTTTGCCCTGTCCAGTGATAGACCAATTGTTCGTTTAGCAGCAACTGATCTTCCGATCTTAAGTCAAATGCCCATTGAATTATATAAGATTCTGAGTCGAAAAGTATCCCGATGTTGCGCTGAGGAACTTCCAGCAGTTTTCCATCGGCGATTTTCCAGCAAATTGGGTCACTGGGTTTCTCAATTTTGTATGTAAACGAATCCCTGATGGTTGAGGATGGTCTGACCACTTTCTGGAAGTTTACACTCAAAGTCGGTTCACGGTACTCGGAAAAAAGCATTCCTGTTACATCCATGCCGGACTGATACTGATGAGAATTATTTTTAGTCGATTGTAATTTATCATCACGCGACTGGGCAGATAAAGAGGAGATTTCTCAAGGTTTTGTGGACCGGCTTGGCTAGTTTTAGTCGAAGCAATTCCGATTTGTGTCGTACTCATGTTGGAATAAAACACGTTTTTTTTTGGAAATTGAATCCATTTACGAGTTATAAATTAGGACATAAATACGACCCATATAAACCTTCTAGAAATGAAACCCCATTAGGATACTGTTTGTCTTTACTGTGCATTACTCTATGCGGGTATTTTGACTGTCTACCAATGCAGGATTGAGCTCCATTACAATTTTTCGATAAACATCGCTTTAGTTGTGGCAACTTGAAATTATTGCTTCCCTGATGAGCTGAAATTGTCAGTTGATTTCGACTGCATAAAAAAAATACTCAAGTATAAACCCTGATAAGTCCGCCACAAGTAAAACGACATTTTACCAAAAAGCTCCGTTAATTTAGTATACTCTAGACCGATCTAGCGGTTTGCTTTGATGAAATTAATGAGCCCATTAGTGGACGCATCGTGCGACGAAATGGGGTTGTTCTCCTTCAATTCGGGCTCGATAGCTTTGGCCAATTGTTTGCCCAGCTCCACGCCCCATTGGTCGAAGGAATTGATGTCCCAGATGACGCCTTGCGTGAATATTTTGTGCTCGTACAATGCTGAGAGACAACAAATTGATTGCTTCTAGAGGGAAAATCGTTAGCCAAACTCACCTATCAGCACCCCCAGAGTGAACGGCGTCACTTTCTTCACGACGATACTATTGGTCGGCCGATTACCCTGAAACACTTTGTGGGGCAGAATTTTTTCCAAAGCCTCCCCTTGAAGCCCCGATTTTTCCAGCTCGGCCCTCGCTTGATCCGCGGTTTTGCCAAAGGCCAAGGCCTCAGTTTGCGCCAGGAAATTAGCTAGCAGGATCTTGTGATGCAGACCGTTGCTGGAAGAACGAATTTTTGAACTGGGAATTTATTTTTTATTGACAAATTTACCTGATGGGGTTGTGGGTTTGAGCTGGCGCGATGAAATCAGCAGGAATCGTCCGCGTTCCTTGATGGATTAACTGGTAGAAGGCGTGTTGCCCGTTTGTTCCCGGCTCACCCCAAACTATCGGACCAGTGCTATAATCCACCTGGAAAAGAGTTCATCTAATTCAAGTTATTGGCGAAAGATGCGCTATCGGAAAGCTCCTAATGATTATTCGGGTAGTTTTAACAAAATGTTGACCTGTTTGCTTCTCATTTTTTACTTGCTGTAGGCAGCCTTGCTTCGATTTAGATCAAGGGCGGATCCAGCCTTTTTGGAGAAAACTGCCAACATTTCCCCATCCATGGTTCACTGTCTAAAAAGGCCATTTATTTTTGTCTAGAATGATGCACAAAT